TTAACACGTTCGTCGCCCAACGCGATTCGGTTGAGTTTCTCGCGGGGCCCAAATCCTACTGTCTGAGCGCTAGAACGTTATCGGACCGATGATTTGGATGGGTCTAGTACAGACACCGCTCGTTAGACGTTGGTCAATGGACCCTATTTACAATTTTCTATTTCCCGTAATCGTTTTGAATTACTATCGGCAAACTTGCATTTTGCAAATAACCAAACGATAGAACAGAGTAGCAGACTTGGTAAAGTTTTACCACTCGTAAACATATTGACAGACAATTACGAAAAATGTACAAACACTACGACCTATTGTTCCAATTGTCCAAAATCACGACAAATGTGTTTAGACTGTTTCAACGAATACCATGCGACATAGTATAATGTAATATTTTATCCTAAATATAAATGAATAAAAAGTATAGTATAATGTGTATATTTTTCATATTTTTATGTTGTATATCCTATATTTATAATTCGGTGCTTGTTCCATTAAATTCCTTTTAAAAATCCAGCTGAAAATCCTATTTAACTTGAACGAGAAGTGCGTCACCCGTATTTGGGTGACGGGGCCCCCACGGAAGCATACTCGTCACCTAGATATGGGTGACGCAGCGACGAACGTGTTAAGAGTCTTAAGCTAGTGTCTAAGAGTGCATCAGTAAAAAGTCAAAGTCGAGTGTACCCATAGCGAGTAACCTCTTGTTTCATAGCCGTTAATCTACGTATAAGCTTATTGTATTTTATTAAAAAATAAAACAACGCTATTTTAACCACAATCCACCTAAACCAATTCTACATATATATATACATAATGAAAATGAGCTGCAATATAATAAGTATCATGTAAAATAATATCAATCGATGAATTAGATAATATAATTCCAGTTAATCCTCCAATTGTAAATAATAAAATAAATCCTAATTATCGTATAATTGAATTATTCGTTACTATTTTTAAACCATAATAAGTTGCTAATCATTTAAAAACTTTAATTCCTGTTGGTACGGCAATAATTATTGTAGCAGAAGTAAAATATGCTCGTGTATCAACGTCTAAACCAATTGTAAATATATGATGTGCTCACACGATAAAACCTAAAAATCCAATTCCTAATATTGCGTAAATTATTCCTAAATTACCAAAAACTTCTTTTTCTCCACTTTCATTTATAATAATTTGTGAAATTAATCCAAATCCAGATAAAATTGAAATTTATACTTCTGGATGACCAAAAAATCAAAATAAATGTTGATATAAAACTGGATCACCTCCTCCTATTGGATCAAAGAAAGAACTGTATTCTGTCTCAGTAACTGTATTCCGTCTTCAATAACAGAAATTAAGGACCTAGGAATTCATTTCTCCTCTACCTTAAATTTCTCCAGCCACATTTCTTATATTGTTAACTCCGCTTCTAGAACTCTCGGTTTCATTCTACGTTTTTCCTCTGATTTTCATTCAATTCGCGCTATAAGATTCTAGAGTACGGAAGAAAATATTAGCATATCCCATTGTTTTCAATATAATATGATTATAATATGATATGACTCTTAAACTTCGCGTAGATCATATGGCTTTTCTTCCACGGTGCGAGTCAACTGCACCCCTCGGAAGACAAACTCACCCTTGTTTATTTACACATAACAATTCCTGGAATAAACATCCCCGCTTAAATGGCCGCGGTTCCTTGTTCTCGGACATATAGGCGGAGAACGTTTTATCCTGCCACCCGATTAATAAAACGTTACGACGGACGTAAAAAACGTATGTACCCAAACTGTTTTGGGCCTTTTTCGGGAACTTAAACTTCGCACGGATCATATGGCTTTTCTTCCACTGCGCCGCTTGGAAGACCCTCGTCTTCCAAGGAGCTTTGGGAAAAAGGAAACGACTGTGCGAGCAGTTAGTCCAAAGGTCAGTTCATATTCTGTCCCGTCGATTCGTCGTAGAGACCCACGGAACAAAAGATTCTCTAACAGAAGTTCTCGATATTCCACTGTATCGCTTCAGAAATCAGTGAAATTTCGTAAAAATTGCGACATGCGGCATTTTTCTCGGTAACCACTGATTCGTCGTCAAGAATGAACTAATGGAAATTTTTCCACGAATTGCAGAACCACGACGCTGGAGCGCCGCTGACGTTGCAGCCTGGATCCAATGGGCCAGAAGACAACTGCAATTGCCCTCGGTGCCACTGGAGAGCTTCAACGTGGACGGTGCTACATTAGCTTCCCTGACGGAAGAGGAATTCTGTCAGCGTGCCCCTCAGGTGAGTTGAGAATAATCTTACTCGTGATTGACTGCGTTCCCTGTCGCCCGCTGGCTCGTCTGCCTGAAATCGGCCGACAAGTCGCACTTTCAAACTGGTACCGTTACGCAATGCCAGACAGCGGGCAACTATTATTCGCGGACCGTTTTAACGAAGCAATTAGTCAATGGAATTTCGTGGTGTTTCGATAAATTACCCGTGCAAACGGCCCGTCGAAGGATGATTGTCGACGATGGATGCTCGTCATCCTTGCGATCACGTCGAGATGCTCAATGAGAGACTCATGCTAGGAAATGAGGAAGTTACGTGGTTGTTGCTGCTCGGTCGTACACATATAATCGCGTCAATTACCGAAATTGGTTATTAACGAGTCGTATGAAGTTATTAGTTTGAATTCTGTTCTGAATAGAATTGCTTCTCCTGCATGATTGATGTTGATTAATGCAGGTTTAACTAAACATTTTTATTCCTATGGGTAAAATGTTAATATCCTTTTTGCGATGGAAAGGTTAATACAGGTGAAATTGTGGAGGAATTTATCGGGATGAAATGTTCGATTTTGTAACGAGGAAAATCGTTTACGGTAAATTCGGGTAAATTAGGTATTGCAGTATTTTTTGATTCTTAGGAAAGTTAGATCGTATGATCGAAATTAACAGAGAAATCGTGTTGACTTTTTTATTATATTCATATTATATATATATACCAATTTATATATTAATTTATTATATATGAGCCGTTCACTGTACAAATTGATTAACTCCATAAAACAAAAAGTGGAGAAATGCAATGAAATAATGTATAATGTTTTTTAAAATTTCCTTTATAATTTAAATCGAAATAAATATCGTAGAATGCATAAATACAAACGTAACTTTCATCTAACGCTATATAAAATTTATAAGAACAAATAACCAAAAGGTAATCGTTAGTAATGTTACCATTTTTATGTTACTGGAAGAGTTAATCGATTCGGCAGGTGAAAAAAGCAATAAATTTAAATTTTACTAAATTTTACTTAAATTCTGATAAGACGGCACTAAAAAATTCACCGTTATCATTCATGGCTTGCTAGTGCATTTGAGTTGCATTATTGCAACGATTTACATTAGAGTACGGAGTTAATCAAAGTGACCTCTGAAATAAATTATTTATTATTCAGTGGCCAAAAAATTTTTGTCGTTTAATGGTGTTAATCTTAATTATCAGGGAAAGTTACCATAAATATAAAAAGTTAGGACTATACCAAGTGCTTTGACGCTTAAATTTAAGATTTTTCAAAAAGTGGAGTTAATTGATTTGTGCAGTGAATGGCTCATATATACTAATTATCAGTTAGGATAGATATTATGAAATATAATAATATGGAAAAAGAAAGCTAGGGTTTGATAAAACCATTCTTCTATTTGAGTGATAATGATTAATATAATTGATCAATATTATATCAATAATGTTTGGTTAAAAATTTTTTCTTAGAAAGAAATTAATTACGAAATTATTTACGATGAATTTTGATTTTCTACGATAATAACAAAAATTATTTGAATGATATTTATTATACTATCCGTTTCGTTTGCTTGGAAGAATACAAATAGATGGTTCAAAGTAAATATTTAATAATAATTACTAAAGATGTGTACATTCATTTCGATATAGTAAATACAGAGTTAAAAAATCAGGGTTAATGTTTTCGTAATTAAAATTTTGTAGATTCAATAATTAAATTTCATGAAATTAAATAATAATAATAAACAAAAGTTTAAAATCTGAAATAATATTTTGATTAATGAATAATTCGGTGTTGTAATTCTTTATTAATATTTTTGACGATTCATTAGGCTGGAAAAAATTGGGCTTGTTTATAATTAAGAGGGAAAAGAAATTATTGCGACAGTATAATACTTCAATGAATTACGATTACTATACATATGCAATGTTCTATCTCGTTATCTACTATGTCGTCTTTGCAGACACTTTTAAAAGAGGTTATCTAGTGTCATCCCAAGAATTTACAACAGATTTCGTTTTTGGCTTTATCGCTGCTGAAACTTCTTTTTACCAGACAATGCACTTGATGTGTACTTCCAGGTTGTGCTATTTAAGTATCATTCATGAGATTCACTGCTAGACATAGATAATAATCGAAACCAATTTTCAAAATGCAATTAAAAAAAAATAACTAATCGTCGAAATGAAGAACCGAAAAATAGTTTCGAGGAGTCGTGAAATCAAAAACTGAATAACTTTCTTTGCGATTGGAAAATTACAAGAAGTTTCGAAAATAGTACGATTCGACATTGTAAAATATTTGGAAATAGTAATTAATCGTAGATCATTCCAAACTCTAAAAAATTAATAATCAAATATCATAAAATATTTGAATATTCGAAAAAGAAATTAATCGTGTAAAAGAAAAACCTAATAATAATTCCAAAAATTCATACGATGACAAGAGACAAAATTAAAAGCATTATTTATAAACGTTTGTACACAAGTAGAAATTCATTAAACGATTCAATTACCAAACAGTGGTAAATTTATTCGAAAAGACTTCAACTTTTTCATAACAAAATAACTGGAGCTTTCCCATTTTCAAAAATAAAATAAAAAATTTTTCACGTATACAATAATATACGGAACAAAATTTTCAATGTATTTTGTACCTGTTTTTTTTTTTCGAAAGAAAATGGTAATTAAATTAAAATGTGGAAAAAAAATTTCCACAACTTCATTGAAATCTTAATTTTGAGGCTCTCTGATATAAAAAATATAATAATTTCCACGATTTCTTTTCTTTCTTTCACACACGTAAGTACGCACAGATATTTAATACTACTATTGCTACGAGTGTACGTAAAAAATTAAAAAAAAAGAGGAAAAAAGTAGAAAATTTCTATTCCTATTTCCTGACGCCCTAAGTGCTCGTTTTGCTTATTGCCTAATACAGCGCTGACTAATGCGCCTATGACGCGTGTGGAGCCTGATATTCATGTCAACCTCCATTTTATCTGTCGTCATCTACGAGCGCCATCTTGTTCGCACAGTCGCGGTTTGGCGGATCGCGTTGCGAAAAGAAGGGACACGTAACGAAATAAAAGCAGCGTTCTGGGCTGGTTCGATAAAGAAACTAATGACGCGAGTGACTGGAGAAACACTCGGGGACAAGGTCCGGTGAAAGTGAATTTCCTGGAAATCGGTGTGCTTCCACGTTCTTTCCTCGTAATCCATACTGGACGGGCCAGGAGGAACGACGGTATGAGTAAGCAACTGGCGTAATAATACGGTTTGTGCCGCTTAACGGAACCAGGATTCTCCCGATATACCTTTTGTACGCCGATGGAATACGTGCTTTTAGCCTCGCGCCGATTGCAGATTTCTTCACTACGTACGATAGACCGTTATTGAGTAGAGTCGACGAGCCTTAAAGTGAGGATCGCCGAGTTAAAGCACGAATGCAAATAGTTAGCAATTGCCGTTTGTCTCCTGGGACATCGGTCACGAATGAGAATGGTATTCGTTAACGCCGATTTTTCGCGCCATTTCTAACCTCGAAATGTGATTTCGTCTAATCTCATGTACATAAGTGTAATCCAGATACGAATAAACCTAAATGTCTAGATGTGATCTAAATATAATCAAATCTATGTATCTCAACACAAATAAATCTAAAAATCTAAATATAAACGAATCTAAAATTATAAATCTAAATATAAACGAATCCAAAATTATAAATCTAAATATAAATAAATCTAGAAGTATAAATATTAACATAGATAAATCTGAAAATATAAATGTAAATAAATTTAAAGATCTAAAAATAAATGTAAATGTTTAAATATGAATAAAATATTAGCGCCAATTTTTCGCGCCATTTCTAACCTCGAAATGTGATTTCTTTTAATCTCACGTACATAAGTGTAATCCAGATACGAATAAACCTAAATGTCTAGATGTGATCGAAATATAATCAAATCTATGTATCGCAAAATGAATAAATCTAAAAATCTAAATATAAACGAATCTAAAGTTATAAATATAAATAAATTTAGAAATCTAAATATAAATAAATCTATAAATATAAATATAAACGTAGATAAATTTTATTTATGTAAATATAAATAAATTTAAAGATCTAAAAATAAATCTAAATGTCTAAATACGAATAAAATGTTAGCGTTGATTTTTCGCGCCATTTCTAACCTCGAAATGTGATTTTGTCTAATCTCACGTACATAAGTGTAATCAGATATGAATAAACCTAAATGTTTAGATGTGATCTAAATATAATCAAATCTAAAATTGTAAATATAAATAAATTTAGAAATCTAAATATAAATAACTCTAGAAATATAAATGTAAACATAGATAAATCTGAAAATATGAATATAAATAAATTTAAGGATCTAAAAATAAATCTAAATATTTAAATATGAATAGAATGTAGGTAAATCTAGGTATCACAATGTAATGTAAGTATAAATAAATTTAAATATCCATATATATCTAAACACTATATACAAATATCCGAATATTCAAATATTTAAATACCTAAATATCTAACTATTCAAATTTGAATATAAATATCTAAATATCAAAATCCTTGAATGTAAATGTAATTTTCTAAATATCTAAATTTAGAAATTTAGATTTATTTAAATCAGAATATAGATAAATATAAATATCTCTCGATAAAAATAGTCACTGTTTTTGGATTCTTTAACTAGACGAAGTTTTATCAAAATTGGTGTGCATCATATAATTAACGTTTCTTACTAGAGAAGAATTTGGATTTCAGCCCTTTCGTTACGGAGATGTCAGCCAAGGAACTATTGTAAAATAGGTCTAGGCTGATCAATGGTATTACTCATTCAAAGAAGAATGAAAGAAACATAATTTATGTCAATAACACCTGTGTTCAATGAGCACATAACGACCTAATTAATTTAGACGATGATCATAGTCAACGTTAAAGACCATTTTCACACAACAGCTAGTCAATA